CAGACGGATTGTCCCACAGACCAGCCAGCCCCAACCCCAGCCCACCAAACCCCCCATCCCACAAGCTGGTTTTATCAGGATTTGCCAGGAGCTGAGAAAGTAAGTCGGGGTGTGGGGAGGGGCAGGAGCGATGAGGAATTAGATTTGCCAGAGGGGTTATTTGTCTGGGGGTGTGGGGCTCAGGGGCTAAAAATAGCCCCTGGTCCTGGTGGGTAGGGAAGATAGCCCCTCCATCCCTCCAAGCCTCCCCTGCAGACCCTGAGAGCCCCCCTGATCCTGCCAAACCCTTACAGACCCCAGCAACCCCACACAGACCCCACCTGACCCCACTCCACTCCCCTGATGCCCCTGTGGTCTCCACAGCCCACTAGCTCCTCTCATCCCTACTTGCCTTAGGTCAGGTGGCTATTTTTAACTCAATCTATTTTCTGCCTAACCACCCCAAATGTATGCAGCAAACAGACTAGAGCCACCTTTAGTTAGCGGCAAGAGGAGAGGTTCTCCCCTCCCTGTTTAAAAAAATATTAAGCAAAGTTCCCGGAACATAAATCCATACCTGTGTGCCTAAAAGGACTGGTACTGAGTTTTTCTTTTTGGCTGATAAAGATACTCTGAAAGCAACAGCAACTAACAAGTATCCTGATGAAGAAGACATGGAAGGAAAGACAGCCAGTGTCTCCTGAGGCACTTAGTAGAAGACTACTCATAGCCAGAAGAACCTTGTCTGCTCAGACTGGAAGGATGTCTCACTGATTTTTCCATAAGAAAAACTGTCCATAAGGATATTCCATACATGAGTTTCCCTCGTTTCAGGTTTCATTCAGAAAACCAACAAACGGGACGTTTCCTTGTGATCTGCCCCTCATTGAAATAAATAAATCCTGATTGCCCACCAGTGAGGAAAGACAGCTACAATGAGCACAGTTTACGTCTCAGAGATTTTTGTTCAGCCACTAAGGTGAAGAAATGTTCACTCAAACTGAAATCTACTAAAACTACTAACTCAACTACTCACTTGATTTAAAAATATACACTAAACTAATGGGATTACTGTATAAGAAAAGTTTAGATTTATTGGTTGCAAATACAAATGTTAGGAACACTGAGCTCTTGAGTCTGTCTTGCAGTAATGGGGGACAAGAAGCAACTGAGGGACTCTTAACCGTGCTTCACCTTTTATAATCTTGGCATTGGCCAAAGGGCAGTGCTAAGTCAAAGATCCTCATCTTGAGTGTAAGCTGTGCATGTTCGTTAAGAGTGGAAGAGACAATAATTGCAAGAAGAAAAACACATTTTCTAAATGTTGCAAGTTGCAGCTGAGAATCCAAGTTATATTTTAAAAGCTCAGTGTCTTCTTTCTACATTCTGGCAAGGACTGTGCTGGTCTGTTATCCCATCCTGACAACATCCTGTGGTATGAGCACAGCATCATAAATCCTGCACACTGATACAGCTTAAATTGGCATCCTGGTAAACCATGAATGTGTGTATTGCCAGGAAACAGACTCAGATGCAGTACACTGCAATGAATCCAAACAATTAACGCATGACATCCAGTCCATTGAATGTTCTGCCTGCTGTTGTCTGCATGCCCATTCACATTATTTACAGATGTCAATTAGCATTTGGTAGCAGGCACTTTTTGCTCTTCGGCCCTCTACTTACTTTATGTTGATTTCCTGATCAATTGCTGCTAAATGGGTTTCTCTCATTTGTAGCAGAGTGGACAGCACTTACTTTTAAAGCAATAAATAAAATAAAAGAGAATCTTTCTGTACACAATACCTTCCTAAAAGCAACTGCTAATTATTATATATCAGAACTGTCCAACTGGCAGCTTAAATTGCAACTTTTACTCTGCTACCGCTCCCCTCATTGCTCTGGCTGCAACAGCAGCTGGGTGCTCTAGGCTCCCGCTCCCTCTGGCTTCCGTTTCTGCCCCTGTCCCTGTCCCAGGAGGTGGGGCAGAGAGATACAACCTGTAGTGTGGGGCAAGTCCACAGCCCAGGATGCCTAAATGGTGTGGTGCAGCAGAAAAGCTTGTGACTGGGAAGCTAAGGATAAGTTGGGGTGTCTGGGCATATGGTGTGGTAGTGAGGTGCAGGGAGCAACAGCAGGGTCAGGGGTAGGGTGCATAGTGCAACAGAGAGGTGCCTGGGTGCATAGTGCAGCAGCAGGCAGACATGCAGCTCCTGGGGCCCATGGCCCTTCCTGGTGCAGCCTCTGCTAGTGTGGCCCAAGAGCCATGCAGCCCCTGACCACTTATAAGTTAACTTTACTTTATATAATATATATAATATTAATATATTCCAATAAATAACTGATAATTGTATGGATCATTAACAGGAATGCTTCTCTTTCCACAGAAATGTAATAGTGAGGAGGATTCCACTGAATTTCCATACTCTCTTTATCATTCTTACTGTTTCCTAAAAAGCACTCCATATAAACTTTCTGAGTTTTTTGAGAACAAAGTATACAGCTGCTCTTTTCTATTGGAGACTGTCAACAGCAAAATCACAGTTCTAAAGTCTTTAAGTTTGCAATTTCCTAACCAAAACTGAAAGACATCTCTGAATTCTATCAATCTTAACTAAGCAGCATTGGCTTGCATTCTGTAAGCTTGTGAGGAGTGCACAGGACACCTGATACCTGGTCTTGCCCCTTCCAAGCAGAGATGTTCCCCATGCTTCCTCCCCATTTCATAATCTACATGCACAGTGTTCATAGGAACAGTTGGCTGTGATCGATGTGAGTGTTTGTATGTGTACAATTGTCAGCCTTCTTCCACCTGCATCTCCTGTTTCAAGCCTTTGTGTGCATGACCAAGGGAAGGGGAACAGCTCATAAAGCATGAAAGTCCCTGGAGTGCTACAACTGAGGACGAATTCTGGATATCTAGGCAATTAAGTGGTTTCTATGATTTCTAAAAAAAGTCTGTTTTTATTTACAAAAAAGCATCTTTATTCACTTTGCTAGTGTAACATGCACATACAGGTACTCCTCACTTAAATGTCATCCCAGTTAACATTGTTTCATTATTAGGTCACTGATTTATAAGAGAACATACTTGTTTAAAGTCGCACAATGTTTGGTTATAACATTGTCTGGCCACCACTTGCTAGTAGGTAACTACTGTGATGTAATTGGATTCACGTCATTTTTTCGTTTAAAGTCACATTCAAGAGTGTAATTACAATGTTAAGCAAGGAGTAGCTGTAGTATAAATGCTGAATCAAGATTTTTATCAAAGAATGCAGGTATTTTAAAAAATATTTCTGGAGTATGTTTTCAATCTAGTACGCAATAGTACTCTCAGCGGTTCTCTCTCTACTTTTAAGTTCCATGAGGTGCCCATGCTACAAGGTTCTGAGTATTTTGAACTACTTGACATTGTGCATAGTATAACATAGCCAATCATGTGAATTGACAAATATAAATTGCTGAAAATTGGGGTTTAAATGCAAGTGGTTTAATAGTGCCTTAAAAGCAGTGACCATGAAGTTCAAAAGATTATCATACAGCAAGCAACAACATCTTCAGGAGAAAATGTAACATGGAACTGGAAACAGTCTCTTGGGCCACTGGGTCCAGGTCCTTGTGTCTGCAGTCAACTGCTATTCAAGTATTCTGCAAAACTGCCAGGGAGAAATACTCCAAAAGCTTCAACTTTTGCTGGGATTCCAAACCTCCTGCACATATAGTAATTTGACATAGTCCTGTAACTTTCAGATAAAAATGAAAGATGGGTCTCTCTTAATAGCACAGGTTTAACTCCACATAATTCCAGGACAAATCTGGCGATGAGATTATTGTCTAAATGTACCCATCTCTGAGCCAGTGGCATAGCATGATACATACTTTCACTTAGGAAAATGTTCATCAAGAAGAAGGAATCAGACTGGCTAAGCTGACTAAGCCTCACTGCAAATAGCCAAGGCAGGAAGTGAAATGTTGGGGAGGTGCTGCCTCTAGGATTGTTTGAAAAATTCAGATGTCCTCAACTGGTCCATAGTGGCATCAGTAAGTAAGGTATTTGGTGAGTACTTCTCTTAGGTCCATGCCTACACTTCATTTTTTGTGGAGTGGAATGTTTTAAGTGGTGATTAGCATTAGTGCTATCATGGTTTGGTTCTGTTGTGACAAAGAGTTCAGTTAAAGAATTACTACCATTAATTATTTGTAGTTATTATTTGTATTCCAGTAACACCTATAATGCACAAGGCACTGTCCACCTGCACAGGAAAACATTGTCCCTCTCTGGAAGAGCTCACAATTTAAGAAAATCAGCTGAACTCTGTAACGTCCTGGCCAAATTCTGATTTATGAAATAATATAAAGCATCAAAACTATCAAATCAGTATCTAGATAGAAGCATGATAAATCTAAGTTCAGATAAGTCATATATTTTAACTAGTACATAGTTAGAAAGGGAAGCTACAGACCTCTGCTCTATTAAGGAATTTAAATCGTTATTCCAGCTGGGATTTTCACAGGACCCAATAGGAACAAAGCAATTTCACTGAACTTCAATGGGAGTTGCACCTTTTGCTTCCTTCTAGTTACCCTGGAAAATCCCAGCCTACAGCAATAACATTTGGTATAATTGCTGCAAGATCATAGGAAAACAAATCCTTTGCAGGAATGAGGAAATAAATAGAGAGGTAGAAGCAAAAGAGAGTACATGATGTGAGCATGAACAACGTTAGCTAGTTTATGGGATTTGGGATAACGAAGCTAGGAAAGTTCAGAATGACACAGACAGCAATGAAGACAAACTAGGCTCCTGGAAAGGGTGACAGTGATTGTATAGACAACAAGAGAAACATTTAGAAGCAACAGTTAATTTTTCACCTTCATGTGGTGCAGATGAGCATTTCATTGTAAGGAATATTCTGGGGAGCCATTCCTAGTCTGTCAGTCTGTTTTAGTCTGTTTTATTGTCATTCAAAAGTGTCATCTCTGTCTGGATACTCTTGTCACATAAATATGCTACTTACTCCCTCATGCGTTTCAGCTTGGTCTCAGCCATGGTGTTGTTGATCACTCTGAATCCCTGGGGCACTACTGGAGCCACTCTGATGACAGTCCCAGTGCCTACAAATCAATGCAGAGGTACACAACCTTATTCACCTTTATTTCATCGGTGCTACTGCAGATTCAAGGGCAACCAGAAAAAGGGAGGCAATTCACCTTTATCACAAGGCAGGCAATGCCACAGTAATTAAAAATGAATTATTAAATGAACATTAAATGACTCATTTCTGAAAGACAAGCAGATTTGCAGATTAAAAGTACAAGAAGTAGTGCAGTTATTTCATTTAATGTAGTTTACACAAACTTCATATAAAAAGGGCTTTCACATGGGGAGATACTGGGACAGAGAAAAATATTAAACAAAAAATGTACTTTGGATTTCTTTTTCTCTTTATTTTCTTCCATTTATTTATAGAAATAAGATCTTTTTTCCTGACCATCAGGTTTCTCTTTTGGCTTGATTAGGTGGAAAACTGGCAATGTTGTGCTCATGGCACCATTCTGCTGTAGTGAATGAAGGGATTCCTAAGACAGTTTACCAAAGGTGCCATAAGGCTTAATTAGTTAATATTTGCAAAGCACTATGACATCAATTTGGAGGAGCATAGAAATGTAAGACTGAAAAGGAGCAAGCAGTCATCAAGTCCAATCCCCTGCTACCATCATAATCAACCATACCTCCTTCATAAACTAATCAAGAACCATCTTAAAAGTAGCTTTTAGGACCCAGACTACTACTTTTGGAAGGCTGTGCCAGAATCTCACAGCTCTTATTCTAATTTTGAGGTTTAAATTTACTCATGGCTACTTAATGGCCATTTGGTCTTGTGCCAACATTATCCTCTTTTAGCTTAACTATTTTTTTCCTGCCTAGTTTTTACTCCCCTGCTATATTTATAGAACACACGTAATATCCTTTCAGCCTTTGTTTTGCTTGTCTAAACAAAACAAGCCCTTTTAGTCTCTTCTTGCAAGATAGGCTGACTGTGTTATATGGGTATTACCACATATTCAGCACTTTGATTTCACTGCAGAAACAAAAAATGTCGGCTGTAGTGGAGCTATTTTTGTGTGAATGCAGAATGTAACAAATTCTTTCCTCAAATACACAAGCCTGGCTCTCATCAATTTTAACAGAAATCAAGTTTCTGTATCCCAGATATTATGTATCCCAATCCCATAAACCCCTATTACTAAGTACAGTGTTTTCTATTGTGTGCCAACTCATCGACTGCATTGGAATTACTTGTGAAAGCAGTGTTTGTAGCCATCCTGAACAGGAATTGGGTATGGAGAAAGAACTAGGAGCCCCAAGACTGATGATCAGGAGATCTGAATTCCACTTGAGTCTGACACTGAAGTGCAGTATAACCATGTGCAAGTCACCTGACTTCTTTGTGTCTAGGTTTCCCTACCTATGGATCCAGGATAATATTCACTAACATCTGGAAAATGCTTTGAGATGGATGACAAGGTTTTAAAAAATTGTCATTTTATAGCTATTGTCATTTCCTGAAGGCAGAATCTGACCCAGTATTTTTTACTGCTAAGTCAATGACGATTGATATTTATCATTTTTCCACTTTTTATGTGTCTTTAATTTAGCACTGGCCAGTCAGCCATGTCATAAATCTCTTTGATTTTAGGAGTGCAGTTGTCATGGCAGTACTTGTCCCACCCCTTTTAGAAATTCTTGAAAGAACAGACCTGCTGAGGAAGTGAGCTGGAGGAGTTCTGCCTGAATGTCATGGGGCTGTCCTGGCTGTCTGTAAAAGGCACAGTACTGTTCAGAGCCTGGGCAGAGAACTGGGCTGCAGCTTGGTACATCCGTAACAAAGAGCAGTTAGTACTTCTGGCTCAATTCGTGTCTGTTGTGCAGGGCCATGGAACAATCTCTGCTCTGCCCAGACAGCCTGGTGGGGCTCTTAGAGCTGCAAGCTGTGAAACCTGGCGCACCCCTTCCTCACAATGGCTCTTGTGCATAGAGAAATGGGAAGGAGCTTCCTTTCACTTTCTCTGACATATGAGTGGTCAGCTGTAATCAGTCACATGATTTTTTCAGTCCTTTAAGGACTGCAGGACATGTGATAATGGTGTTCATTTTTTTAAAGCAGATAATTTTGTCAAGTATGAAAAGTTTACTTCTAGAGGAACACATAAAAAGCTGGAAATCTGGGAAGAGGAAATTATTACAGTGAGAGAGGAACCTGGATTTCAGATGGCCAATCAGATTTTGAAGGGGGAAGGAAACCAAAGTTAATGGATCAATTTTAATATTTTTAAAGATCTATAAGACTGACAAATTTTATATCATTACTATTTAGCAATAACCAAATAACAGGGAGGATAAAAAAAAGCAGTTGCACAATCCTGTCATCTGACAATCACCATCCTCTTTACTTTGACTTCAGTTCCATCATGATATTAGCAGCCAATATACATGCAAGCTACTACAGCAGGGGCGGGCAAGTATTTTGGGCGGAGGGCCGCTTACTAAGTTTTGACAAGCTGTCGAGTGCCGCATGGGTAGCCCTGCCCCTTGACAGGTGCCCTGCCCCCTGGTCGCCATCTTGGGACCAGAAGTCCCACCCCAACCTCTGACCTTTACCACCAGAAGTCTCTCTCCTTGCCACTGGAAGAACTCCTTTGGGGAAGAGGGTTTGCCATCTTAGGGGGAAGAAACCAACAAATTATATACTAAAAATCAAACACCCATAATAATATATTTTAATTTAATTTAAAATATTTAGTTTTGTCCTGATTTGTGTGCGTTTGTGCTGTATATGTAGAAGTGATTGCATAATAGCTCAAAATGCAGTCTTACTCATATACTGTGTGGGATGTGCAGGAGTGTTGAGGGGGTATGGGTGGGTGGGTGTGGGGTTTGTTTGGAGCTGTGGGTTTGTGGGGATGTGTGTCTGAGTATGGTATTGTGGGTATGGATGTGGGTATGGGAGCCACATGGCGCAAAGCAGCTGATGGGCAGCCAAGAAATTGGGGAAAGTGGGTCCCAGGGCAGGGGACAGTGGAAGCGAGTGGCATGCAGGAGCATGGGGCCCGCACCAGTGTCCCAGGGCCAGAGCCATTGGGGCCCAGAGCGGGGTGGTAGGAGCATGAGGTGTGGGCTGGCAGGGGACTTTGGCAGGGGTTCCCAACCTTTTTATACCGTGAACCTGTAAACTATCCAAGCTCCATCTTTAAATTTAATTTACATGTTTCAATTAAATTTTTACTGGGGGGGGGTGGGCAGAGTTGTAAGAATCAGACCAGGTGGGGGCACCAGGGGGTGGTGCAAGCCATGACCCAGCAGCCAACCCACTGGGCCACAGCCTGGTGGTTGGGAACCCCTGGTCTATGGACTTGGGCTGCGCCAGCAGAGAGAGAAGGGAGCTGGCCCGACTTCATATAGCCTCTGCTGGCCAGGACCCCACTCTCCTGCTGCCACGCTTTGGGCCCTGACGGCGTAGGCCCTGCGCTCCCATCTAGCTGCTGCTGGCTTCCATTTCTGCTGCTCTGCTCTGGGACCCACCGGCACTGGCCCTGGGACACCAATGCAGGGCTCATGCTCCTGTCCGGCTGCTGCTGACTTCCGCGCGTCCGCTCGCTCCCAGTCCCACTTGCCCCAGCCCCACAGTACAGGTGGGGATGAGTGCGAGCAGCCCTGACACCATGCGCCCTGTGCTCGCCTGTCCAGGCTGACCAGCCATGGAACAAACTGGTGCTCAGTGCGGGGCAAAAGCACCCCTCCCCCTCCCCATGGCCGACGTTTCCTGCTGCAGCCGCCTGGACCCCACGCAGGGCTGTCTTGCCTCTCCACTGTGTCACTGCTGCCCCATGGGGCAGTGGTGGGAGTGGAGCCCCGTGTGGGCTCTGGGCAGCTGCTGCAGGGAACTCCAGCCATGGCAGGAGGGGGCGCTTTTCTCCCGTGCTGAGCACTGTCGGGGCCGAGGGGCTGTGGCCAGCAGCCTGGGCATGTGGGTCGGGGAAAAGGTCGGCACGGTGAACTAGAATTAGGCACTGACGCGTAGAGATTGATTAAAGATTGTTTTACTTACACCGTAGGTGGTCGCGCAGGCAGGAAAAACTTTCTTGAGTTGCAGTTACAGACAAACACAAGCGGAGTTTGCTAGGCTCCACCGAAGACACACGAGTGGAGTTTGCTAGGCTCCGCTAAACGAACACGAAC